AACTTCCCGCGCCCACGCCACGTGAAGCCCATACTGAGAATTTCCAACGCTCAATGCCAGGCAGTGCCTTGCGCGCGATGGTGCGGCTATTCACGATAATCTTGTCCGTCTCCCGTGCAGTAAAGCGCACCCTAGGCGCGTCGAAGACGGTTGAAGATGCGTTGGGAACAGGGTGAAATATGCAGCAACGGATTTACTTGACTAAACGTGATTGCTGTAGCGTGTTGAAGCAACCAGCTAAAAAGTGTTTTCCTGTACCAGATACAGCATCTCGGATGTCTCGAGCTGCACATATGAAAAGACACGGGATGCACCTTTATGAGGTGGATGATCATCGGGTGAGAACCTAACGTAGTCCCAAAGACAGTTCTCGTTCTCAAGCAGTTCCTAGGCGTCCTTCCTTGTTCAAGTAATCTGGCCCATAACTCTGAGATTGTCATTTTTACGCGGCTCCACACAGAGGTGACCTTCCTACGCGGTTTCACATAGAGTAACGGAGGCGCTGCTGCCCTCAGAAGTGGCAGTTCTGATGCCTCTCTGGTTGTGCCGCCCGCCAAAACACAGAGGCTACTTTCTGTTACGAGAGCAGTTTTTACACAGTGGTTTCATTTCTTTTACACCGTCGGTTGCTCAAAGGAAGCACTGTTCGATTAAAGGAAGCATTGTATGTGTATTAGTGAGCCAGATGCGGCAGGGTATCACTTTGCTGGTACAATACCACGGTATGCCGCCACTAGCCCGGGAATCTGCAGCAGATCAAGGGTTCCAGAAGGTCCTTACTTAGGATGTCCTTGTGATTCTGATTTTCCGGCTTTTATTTTTCCTTGAAGAGATGAACGACTATAGGTTTTATTTTTCCTTGAAGAGTCAATGAACGACTATAGCCTCGTGACTCAATGTCACAATGCACAATATGCAATCGAGATGTCTTTAAAGATGCACTGAACAAATCGCACCGGCTATGGGAAACTATGTAAGGCAGCCAGACTTTGCGATCACAACTGCAGCAGCGCTCTAGTCCTCTAGACACGAACGCAGCCGCAGAAGGGAATCAATCGGCGCCGCTTGTGTATTGATAGAGTATGGGAGGAAATGGAAGGTGCGCGTTTCCTAAGCACGCAGCATAGTATCGATCGGTACTGGGCCGCTAGTGCGGTGCTGATCGATACAATACTTCCATCTGAGACTGCGTTTGCGTCTATAGAATTGGAACGCTGTTGCACTAGCAGTGTGGTACAGCGCGTCGAGCGTGTCATCGCGAAGTCTAAACGCTGCCTCAGCAAACGAAGGCAGAGTACAGCCTTCTCCCTCCAGGCAGCTACAGTCATGATCCTTACAAACG